TTCTCCTGTAAGCATTACCGACTCAGAGACCCACAGGGGCAGTTCTGCCCTGTCGTAAGGGTCCGGTCGTTAGTCATGTGTTGGATCTGCCAGATGGCGTTGAGTTTGGTTTTCTTTCTGTACTAGTCTATTAGAAAAAACATAGACGTATTAAGAATGTATTGGCTCAAATAACAAATATATTATTTACAAACAGTAAATGTGTTTCAACATCATTGTGGAAATGCAGGTTTCCAAGATTTGCTACTGTAGTGCCTAATATTTTTTCTACTTGTTCAACCCATTTGTGCCTGGGAAACCTTCTCTCACATGGGCTTCAACAGTGTGGAAGTTGGTTTTAACAGCTACTGTTTATCTCTTCCCAGGACCCCTGCCTTACTTCCCATCTGAAGACTCCCTCCCCCACACTCTTAGTGCATCCCAGCCCTGGGACTCAGCGGGGGACAGGTGCACGTCTATGCTCCCTTTTGACCACAGGGTGGCAGTACAGTGAAGCAGTTAAAAGGGTGGACCCAGCATCACTTGTTCCAACAAACCAAACTCCCTACCATTGAGTCAGTTCAATTCACAGCAACAGGAGGAACAGAGACTATGAGTCTTTCCAGGAGCATTTACCCTAATTTTTCTCCAGTGGAGCCCAACTATGCCACTAGGGTTTCTTAATCACTCTTTAATAGTTACTTATTAGTTGTGGGACCTTAGATTATTTAATTTCCATGTGTTCGAAAACTAAAATTGGGGAAGTAATAGTGTGTTACTGTTTGCTACGTTGGGTAAGCATTGGACTGCTAACCTTGAGGTTGGTAGTTCAAACCCACCAGCCACTCAGAGCAAGAAAGATGAGGCTATCTGTTTCTGTGAACAAGGGAACTTGGACCTGTAACAAAAATGGAGAAAAGTGGGTAAAATTTCTAGGTAGAAGGGACAGGGGTTGTTGTAAAGGATGGGATCAGGAGCCATTCAGGCTGAGCACCTTGCTGGTGGGGCAAGGGAAGCGGGCAAGGCTTTCAGAGACAATCAGGGGTTTTGGTCTGAGTAAGTTTCAGATGTCTGTGACTGCAAAGAGAAATGTTGGCCAGGCCTTTTGATGTCCGAGTCTAGAGTGCAGAGGAGAGGTCTGGGCTAAGAGAGACACCCACTCACTCACTGCCATTGACAGCATAAGACAGGGTACAACTGCCCCAGTGAGTTTCAGAGACTGTCATTCTTAAGAGAAGTAGAAAGCCCCATCTTTCTCCTGAGGAGAGGCTGGTGATTTTGAACTGCAAACCTTGCAATTAGCAGCCCATTGGGTAACCGCTATGCCACCAGGGCTCCTGTTGAGATTGAGGACAGAAGCCAGATAAGAGGATTTAAAAAAAATTTATTGGAGACTCTTCCAGCTCTTAAAACATTTCATACATCAATTGTATCGAGCATATTTGTACATATGTTGCCATCACCATTTCCAAAACATTTTCTATTTGAGCCCTTGGTATCAGCTCCTGTTTTTTCCCATTCTCCCCTCCTTCCCACCCTCGTGACCCTTTGACAAATTAAAAATTATTGTTGTTATCATATCTTAAACATTGACCACCGTCTCCCTTCACCCATGTTTCTGTTATTCATCCCCCAGGGGGTGGGGGTGCGGGTTATGCATCGATCATTGTGGTTGGTTCCCCCTTCCTTGCCTCCTCCCCACCCCCTCTCCCTTCACCCTCCCCTCCTGGTATTGCCACTCCCAGTTCTGTTCCCTAGATGTTTATCTGATGTGGATTCTGTAAGTCACGCGTGAGTCCTTATCTGTACATGCTCTGGTCTAGTCAGAACTGAAAGGCAGGATTGGGGTCATGATAGTAGTGGGGTGAGGAAGCTTCAAAGAACCAGCGGAATATTGGGCTATCCTGGGCCCTGGTTGACTCATCCCTTCCTTGTGACCCTTCTGTGA